AAAGTTTTTCGGTGGAAACATAAGGGTTTTTATTACAGGACAAGAAATCAGCCCTCCACAATTTAACCTGCGGAAAACCTTTTTTTAAAAAAAAATCCCTAAGCCGCGGGGTCACAATTTCAGCAAAAATTTGACGTTCTGCAATACACTCTAAAATGGTGATTTTTGAGTGAAAAATCATAATTTCAGCACAAATATAACGTTCTGCCATTCACTCAAAAATGGTGCCCAGCTGTTGCAAATGATCCCCTGAAAGGTTTTTCGGTGGAAACAGAAGGGTCTTTATCATCGGAAACAGAATTAGCCCTCGATGACTGAACTTGCAGAAAAGCTATTTTTTAAAAAAAACCCTAAGCCGTGCTGTCACAATTTCAGCAAAAATCTGACGTTCTGCAATTCACTCAAAAATGGTGCCCAGCTGTTGCAAATGCTCCCCTGAAAGGTTTTTCGGTGGAAACAGAAGGGATTTTAGCATCGGCAAAAGAATTATCCCTTGATGACTGAACTTGCGGAAAAACTTTTTTTTGAAAAAATCTCTAAGCCACGCGGTCACAATTTCAGCAAAAATCTGACGTTCTGCAATTCACTCAAAAATGGTGCCCAGCTGTTGCAAATGCTCCCCTGAAAGGTTTTTCGGTGGAAACAGAAGGGTCTTTATCATCGGAAAGAGAATTAGCCCTCGACGGCTGAACTTGCAGAAGAACTTTTTTTTGAAAAAATCCCTAAGCCGCGCTGTCTGACTTTCTGCAATTCACTCAAAAATTTTGCATGCTCCCCGGAAAGGTTTTTCGGTAGAAACAGAAAGGTCTTTATCATCGGAAACAGAATTAGCCCTCGACGACTGAACTTGCAGAAAAACATTTTTTAAAAAAAAATCCCTAAGCCGCGCGGTCACAATTTCAGCAAAAATCTGACGTTCTGCAATTCACTCAAAAATGGTGCCCAGCTGTTCCGCGCGGTCACAATTTCAGCAAAAATCTGATGTTCTGCAATTCACTCAAAAATGGAGCCTAGCTGTTTCAAATGCTCCCCTGAAAGGTTTTTCGGTGGAAACATAAGGGTTTTTATTACAGGACAAGAAATCAGCCCTCCACAATTTAACCTGCGGGGAAACTTTTATTTTAAAAAAGATCCCTAAGCCGCGCGGTCACAATTTCAGCACAAATCTGACGTTCTGCCATTCACTCAAAAATGGTGCCCAGCTGTTGCAAATGCTCCCCTGAAAGGTTTTCGGTGGAAACAGAAGGGTCTTTATCATCGGAAACAGAATTAGCCCTCGACGACTGAACTTGCGGAAAAGCTTTTTTTAAAAAAAATCCCTAAGCCGCGCGGCCACAGTTTCAGTAAAAATCTGACGTTCTGCAATTGACTCAAAAATGGAGCCTAGCTGTTGCAAATGCTCCCCTGAAAGTTTTTTCGGTGGAAACATAAGGGTTTTTATCACAGGACAAGAAATCAGCCCTCCACAATTTAACCTGCGGGAAAACTTTTTTTCTGAAAAGATCCCTAAGCCGCGCGGTCACAATTTCAGCACAAATCTGACGTTCTGCCATTCACTCAAAAATGGTGCCCAGCTGTTGCAAATGCTCCCGTGAAAGGTTTTTCGGTGGAAACAGAAGGGTCTTTATCATCGGAAACAGAATTAGCCCTCGACGACTGAACTTGCAGAAAACCTTTTTTAAAAAAAAATCCCTAAGCCGCGCGGTCACAATTTCAGCAAAAATCTGATCTTCTGCAATTCACTCAAAAATGGATCCCAGCTGTTGCAAATGCTTCCCTGAAAGGTTTTTCAGTGAAAACATAAGGTTTTTTATCACAGGACAAGAAATCAGCCCCCCACAATTTAACCTGCGGAAAAACTTTTTTTTTAAAATAATCCCTCAGCCGAGCGGCCACAATTTCAGCAAAAATTTGACGTTCTGCAATTCACTCAAAAATGGTGTTTTTTGAGTGAAAAATCATAATTTCAGCACAATTTCAGCAAAAATCTGATCTTCTGCAATTCACTCAAAATTGGTGCCCAGTTGTTGCAAATTCTCCCCTCAAAGGTTTTTCGGTGGAAACAGAAGGGTCTTTATCATCGGAAAAAGAATTAGCCCTCGACGACTGAACTTGCGGAAAACCTTTTTTTTGAAATAATCCCTAAGCCGCATGGTCACATAATTAGCACCAGTTTGGCACCATTTTTGAGTGAATTTGAGAACGTCAGATTTTTTGAGAAATTGTGACCCGAGGGTTAGGGGTTTTTTTAAAAACAAAATTCTGCAGTTTAAGGTGTTGAGGCCTTTGGCTGCGAACTCTGGCCCTACCAAAAAAAGTGTAAAGTTGGGCCCCACTTCTTCAAATTGGGCCCCCTCTGGCCATCACTGAGTCTATTAGTTGCTGGGTCTGAGTTTCCCTGCCCTTGCATGAAGTCTTGGGTTTGCAATTTTGGGAGAGGGGAGGTTGCCTGCTGGGGAGCGGGTAGGCTGGTGAGACCCCCTAGATTTAGAGGCCCTAGGCTTCAGTCTACATAGCCTATACATAAATCAGGCCCGTGCTATATCCTATACTGGAGCAGGGCCATCTTAACCATTGGCACTATGGGTGCATGGCACCAGGGTGCCAGGCTCTCAGGGGTGCCAGGCCAAGAGTCCGGGACTGAGCCTTGGAGTCCGGGGAAGAGCCACCGACAGCCGAGCGGAGCAGAGCTCATCGGAGCAGTGTAGACTCTTCTGCTGCAAGGGGCTCTTCCCCGGACTCCAACTCACGCCTTCCATCCCATGCTGAGCCGCCGCCGCAGAAGATCCTGCGGTTCTCTGACAGGCTCGGCTTCGCTCGGCTGTTGACTCTTGCCCCAGCCTCATGGCAGCTAACAGTTTCAGTGCCATGCCTGGAGTGCTTTGTAACATTGTGGTGGGATCCGCAGCACCGACAGCACCGAAGGCAGCAACAAAACCCAAAGAATAGGAGCGCATTGATCCTGTTCGGAGATGTTGCCTCCGATGCCGCTTGCATTCCCCACCGTTCTGTACTGGCACAACTCTGGGCAACCTAGGGGCGCCGGGTGGATCTTTGCACCCCGGCGCCACATATGCTTAAGACGGCTCTGTGAATGAGCTCAGTAGAAGGCAGTTCTCTCCTGTTCTGCTTAGAGTGTCTCCTTCGTTCCTCTTTACAGACTGTAGTTTCAAGGATGGGACTGGGGCATTGACAAGAAGATCATCACCTCCACTTGGGTTGACTGTGTGCTATAAGACTGAGCTCCTCATACTGCAGTGTCTTCCATTTTACAGAGCGTACCTTCAAGAAGGGGAGGGGAGGGAAAGTGCCCTGCTGCAGGAATTCCTTTCCTCTTCTTAGATGACATTTTTGAGGGACGGGCAAGGACAGTGCCATCCTCTTTCATCACCCGATATGAAATGGGAAGGTGCTGCCCCAACTCACCACCATCCAATCCTCTTTTTTTACATATATAATAATTTTTATTTGATTTTACAAATATAGAATTATAACAATCCAAATTACATATCCCTATTTAGAGATTTCTCCAAATCTCTGGACTTCCCACCTTCCCCTTCATGGATCCCGTTGTCCATCTTCTCAACTGCATATTATTTCATAGTCCATATTTTACATCTTTCCATATTATCCATAATATTCTCTACATTACAAGTGTTACTAAAAGCCTGCTAAGGTTTTCATCTGCTTACAGTGGTCTCCTAGATAAATTATAAATTTTTCCCATTCTTCGTTGAAGATTTGGTCTTCTTGCTTCCTGGTTTGCCATTCCTCTCTGGTAGGGACTTTGTCTTCTTTCCATCTCTGGGCTAGTAGCTTCTGCATGGCTGTTGTCGCATATGTGAAAAGTCTTTTCTGTTCCTTTGGAATGTTGATACCTACAATTCCTAATAAAAATGCTTCTGGGTTTTTTTACAAAAGTTATTTTAAACATTTTTTTCAATTCATTATATTTCATTTCCCAGAATGCTTTTAGAACCTTACAGGTCCACCACATATGATAGAAGATGCCTTCCATTTCCTTACACTTCCAGCAGATATTTGCACTTTTCTTATACATTTTTGCTAGCTTACTAGGAGTCAAATACCACCTGTACATCATTTTCATATAATTTTCTTTCAGCATACAACATGCCGAGAATTTCACCACCGCCCAAGCCTCCCTTACCTGGATTGTGCAGCGGTGCCTGGCAGCAACAATGGCAGATTCTGTTGAGATCTTGTGAGATCACAAGATCTTGCTAGTCGAATACTGCTATTAAACCAAATGGTATTAGTAGGATTATGCATAGGGTTTCCATGTTGGGTTGCCCCTAGCACGGTTGGCAGTGTAAGGTCCTGGCACTTACATGACCTCCCACCACTGACATTGCTGGTGCTGGCGGGGTTGAGTAACGTTGACACAGTGCAAACATACCGGTGCAGCAAAACTGGTGCGCATGCCAGTGTGTTCACACCACATCAACCTCACCACCTTCCTCCTCTATCTTCTTGTAAGCCACAGTCAGCATTGGGAGATCTGCTAAGTGCCTCCCCCCACCATGCTACTGGTTGTGGGCGGCCTATGATTTTAAAAGATTCCACCTTCTGCCCAAGTAGTGTTTTCAAGCGGCCATTGTAGCTGTACTTTTAACAGCAGCTTGACATGCAGACATAGGGTGATATTCAATTAAATAATTGCATGAGTGGACCACAATGGGACTTTCCTCTCTCTCTTCCCCCTGTGATCTCCCTAATTCCTTTGTAAGGGTTCCCCCAAACCCAGATTCGGGGACAGTGCAGGGTTGAAAGAGGGAAGGAAAGTCCCATTGCAGAAGTGGAAGTTGCTCTGCTCATGAACTTATTCTGCCAAATGCTGCCTATAATCCTCAACCCAAAGGTTGTCCAGAACAGGCCAGGCAGTCTTGTTGACTTTTTCCAGACCAATTGGCAGCAAGATACTGCTGCCAAAATAGCTCCTCCCTCAAATTCTTGCAATTGCTGTTCACAGAACTTTTGCAATCCCTTCTCATTGGGTGGGATTCTGGTCGTTCCTCCTTTACCACATAAAAAGAAAAGGAACTATACCATAGGAGTCATCGCTTATATTATAAAAGCAGAAAGATCCTTGCAGCAAGACGGTTTCCAGTATTTAGGTTGTTGAAAGGGAAGCTTTTGTGGTACCAGCAGCTATACTTTCCCCAAAGTGCCATGAAGATCTGGCTGATCTGTTTTGCTCCATTTCTCCTATACTTCCAAAGTGGTAAGTTATTTGTCAAGAGACGGGGAGGGGGGGAGAGTACATGGGGAAATGGATGTTAAGTTATTTGTTGTGGGAGGAATTCAACATACCTTATTTTTCGCTCCATAAGATGCACCTAGTTTTTAGAGGGGGAATGCAAGAAAAAAAATTCTTTAAAGAGAGCGCTGTATGCCTCCCAGGCTCTGCTCAGCTCTCCCTTTCACGAGCCACGAGGAGCGCCGCACTTGAGGGCTTTTCTGGGAGGTGGGGGGAGGGACAGAACTGTGTGCTCTGTCCCTTCCCCCACCTCCGGCAAAAGCCAGAGATAGCCCCGCGAAGCCTCCGCAGGGCACAGGGATGAAGGCTCCCTGTGCCCTGCGGAGGCTTTGCGTGGCTAAGCCAGAAGCTAGAAGTTGTTCTGGCTTTGGGATAGCCGCTCAGCCTGCATTCGCTCCATAAGACGCACACACATTTCCCCTTACTTTTTAGGAGGGGAAAAGTGCGTCTTATAGAGCGAAAAATACGGTAATGCTTTTCCAAATGTTCTATCAGTGCAAGCATGTCTGCTCAATTGATGAAGTCATCTTGCCTCTCATCTTCCCCATGTGCTGTTCTGAGGGATTTCCCTGACTCCCTCCAGAGCCAATGGCACAGGGGTAGGAGATGGGTGAAAGTCCTGCTGCACTGGCAGAAATCATTGTATGGGTTTCCACAAGCAGGACCCAAAGCCAGTGTTGGATTACCAAATAGGCAGAGTAGGCATCATGCCTTTTAGGGGCCCCACAACAATGGATCATAATTGGTTTATTAAAATTGTTGATTGGTAAAATAAAAAATGTATTAAGAGATAATTTGTGAGGGGAGCCCTGAGATTTCGACTGCCTAGGGACCTCTGCAGGGTTTTATCCAGCACTGCCCCAGACAGCTGCTTTTGTAGCCATGTGCAGTTACTTCTAAGTGGTCAATCCATGGGATTCCTGTGGATTCCTGACAAATCCTTCACTCAGGCAGTGGGTTGGTAGGCATATGGATCTGCCATCAGGTTCCTCCCTCAGTAAGTGTGCTGGGATCTAAGTGCACACAGCAATTTTTGTCATCAATGTATGCATAATCTAATGCATCATTGCAGGTTCTGGAGAAGGATGTGGTCGGCCTCCTCCTATTGAAAATGGAGATATTATCAACACACCCCTGATACAATATGCATCGGGTGCAACAGTGGAATACAGATGCCAACGCCTTTATGTAATGAAAGGCTCTTCAGTGGTGAGTTGCAACAACGGCAATTGGATGGAAGCACCAGTATGCCTAGGTATGAAGGAAGTCTATAACCTTTTATATTCTTGTTCTGTTGAACGATACACCTAGAAAAGTGTACATGTTAAGTTTGTAACAGCATCCTGATGTTGGGTTGATCCTAAAGCAGGCTCCCTCAACCTGGTGCATTCTAGATTTTGTTTGACTTCTGCTCTAATTATCCCCAGCCAGCATGGCCAGTGGTCAAGGGAAGATGGTAGTTGTCACCCAACAACATCTGGATGTTTTAGAGTGAACTTTATTGCTACAAACTGGTATCGCAGCCACCTCATTGGTGGTCCTCCTATTTGGCAGGGTGAGCCAAGGTATTTTTCCAACAGACTTTCTGCTCTTGTTTCAGCAGCTCAACCGATTATAAGTATCTCAAGAATGTCCCACAAACAGTACCTTTCAGGCAAAGCAGCTGGAATGTTTTTGAACATTATAAACTATCAACTATTTAACCAATGGCATTGTGGAAGAGGGAGACTCATCAAGCCTTCTGATTCATATATATGTGGTTACACTTTCTAATAAATGTGCAAAGTCAGTATTTTAGGAACAATCCTATTCACCAATTTTGGAGGCCATGTTGAACTTAGTGCTTAGAGCATAGATAGCAAGTTGCCTTCCTTCTATAGGCAAGAAAGTCCACATGTTGGTCTAATTCTTGCTTTCTTTCTTTTTTTGCAAGTAAATTTTTATTCAGAATTTGTATAAAGAAAAGAAAAAAAAACTAACAAATACAAAAATAAACATTTTAACATAAATTATTCATCCTATTTTCATACTATACAAAAAGAAAGCATACGTTCATACAAAAATAATAATATAACCATTAGGCTCTCCTTAGCCTTTGACTTCCCTTCACCCTTTTGGTAAGTATCAAATAAGTCCCGGGTTGCGTAATTAGTTTATTAACGTTTATAGTTATTAGCTGATAAAGTTTTTCTAATACCGCCAGCTCCTCCTATATATCCGTTCCAATATATTTCCAAAACTTACTCCAATTTTTTGAAATTTCTGGTCGTCTTGGTCTCGTATTCTGCCTGTTAATCTATCTAGCTCGGCATAGTTGATCATTTTGACCTGCCAGTCACTTATGTTAGGAATAGTTTCTATTTTCCAGTTTTGTGCCAGCATAATTCTTGCGGCTGTGGTGGCATAGAGAAATATTTTTATCTTCATTTTTATTTCCTTACCCATTATTCCCAGCAAAAAGGCCTCAGGTCTCTTGGGAAAAGTGTATTTAAAAACTTTTTAAGTTCATTATAAATTGCTTCCCAAAAACCTTCACCTTGCTGCATTGCCACCACATATGGTAGAGGTCTCCCTCCCCTTCACCACATTTCCAGCATGTCTTATTTTCTGATCTATAGATTTTAGCCAATTTTGCCGGCGTAAGATACCATCTATAGAGCATTTTCCAAACATTTTCTCTCAAACTCGTACAGGCCGTAAATTTAATGTCTCTATTCCACAATTTCAACCACTTTTCAAACTCGATGTTATAACCGAAGTCAATTGCCCATTTAATCATTGCCTCTTTGACTTCCTCGTCTTTTGTATGCCATTCCAGTAATATGTCATATAATTTAGACAATGTTTTGTTTTTGCCTTCTATTATTTCTATATTGAATTTTGATTTCTTGTCCTCAAAGCCCATTATTCTTTTATCTTGTTTTAACATATCATTCACCTGATGATGTTGTAGCCAGCCGGTGAATTGATCCTTTATTTCCTCATACGGTTTAAGTTTAAGCCCTTGTTCTGATTTTCTTAGCAAATCTTCGTAGGTGGCTGTCTTCCCTTCCATGTTGGTTTTTTTATTGTTAAGACCTCTACTGGTGAAATCCACCATGGTGTTTTTCTTTCGAGAAGGTTCTTATTTCTTTCCCAGACCTGATATATTGGTCCCCTGAAAATATGGTTTAAGAAAGCCCTGTGGACTTTCACCTTCTCGTACCAGAGATATGCGTGCCACCCATACCGGTTATTGAAGCCTTCTAAATCCAGTAGGTCTCTGTTCTCCAATTTTATCCAATCTTTTAACCAAAGTAGGCACGCTGCTTCATAATATAGGCTCAAATCTGGGAGGGCAAAACCTCCTCTTTCCTTTTTATCAATTAGTATTTTCATTTTAATCCTTGGTCTTTTCCCCTGCCAGATGAATTTCATCAGGGTTCTCTGCCATTCTTTACATTGTTTTAGACCTTTAATAACTGGAAGAGTTTGAAATAAAAACAACATCCTCGGCAAAACATTCATTTTAACCACTGCTATCTTCCTAAAAAGGAAAATTTCATCCTCCCCATATTTCCAGATCTTTCTTTATTTTTTTCCATGTAACTTCATAATTATCTTTATATAGGTTTATGTTTTTGCCGTAATCCACACTCCCAAATATTTCACTTTTTTCACCACCATGATTTCCACTTTTTGTTCTAGATCTTTCGTTTCTTCCTTAGTTAAATTTTTAACCAGCATTTTAGTTTTATTCTTGTTTACCTTAAAACCTGCCACCTCTCCAAATTCCTCAATTTTTGTAATGCTTCTTTTACACTATCTTGTGGATCTTCCAAAGTCAAAACAATATCGTCGGCAAAGGCTTTAATTTTGAATTCCTTCTTTCCTACTCTAATTCCTTTCACTTCTGTTGCCTCCCTCAGTCTCTTATTAAGTACTTCCAAAATTACAATAAATAATAAGGGGGACAGGGGGCAACCTTGTCTGGTCCCTTTATAAATGTTAAAATATTCTGTTGTATTGTTATTTATCACCAGCTTTGCTTTTTGTTCTTTGTATATTGCTTCTATGCCTCTTCTAAATTTTACGCCAATTCCCATCCTTTCCAAAGCCTTCTTTAGGAAGTTCCAGGAAACATTATCAAATGCCTTTTCGGCGTCTATGAAAACCAGTGCGGCTTTTCTGTCTATTTTCATGTCCAGGTATTCAATAATGTCAATCAAATTCCTTACATTATCCCGTAATTGTCTCCCTGGGAGAAATCCTGTTTGATCACCATGAATTTTATTAATCAAGACCTTCTTTAATCTTTCCGCCATTATGTCTGCAAATAGCTTATAATCATTATTTAATAATGAGATTGGCCTATAGTTCTTTACTTCCATAGTGTCCACCTCTTTTTTAGGGATCAATATAACATAGGCTTCCTTCCAGGTATTAGGTATCTTTCCTTCTCTCAATATATTGTTCATAACCTCTCCCAGCACTGGTGATATTTGGTTAATTAATGTTTTATAATATTTGGCCGGAAGGCCATCCGGTCCCAGCGCCTTCTCAGCTTTCATCTTTTTAATAGCCTTTTTATCTCTTCCTGTGTTATTATCTCATCTAGTGCTGCTCTTTCATCTTCTACAATTTGTTCCAGATGGTGTTTTTGCAGAAATTGATCTATTTCTTGTTCTGTTTCCTCTCCTCTTTTGTACAAATCCTTATAATATCTTTGGAATATTCTTTTTATTTCTTTTGGTTCTTCCATAATCATATCTCCTTCTTTTATTTTACTGATCGTATTCAACTTCTTCCTTTCTCTCAACTGCCACGCTAGATATTTCCCTATCTTATTTGCGGACTCAAAGTTCTTTTGATTCATCCTTTTAATTTTCCACTCTATCTCTTGGTTAATTATTGTAGCAAATTTAGCTTGTAGTATTTTTAAGTTCTGTTTTAAACTCTCTTCACTAGGGTTAACAGTTAATTTTCTTTCATTTTCCATAATCTGTGTTAAAATCTGCTCTTTCTTTTTTTCTTTTTCTTTTCTTAATTGGGTATTTTTCTGAATCAAAAAAACCCCTCATGACCGCTTTTCCTGCGTCCCACACCATCTCTATGGAAGTTTCTCCATTTAAATTCCACCTAAAGTATTCTTCAATTGTTTCTATAGCCTTATTTACTATCCTTTGATCATTGAATAAATATTCATTCATTCTCCATCTGGCTGTTTTAACCTCTCTACCTTTTAACTCCATGGAAACCGCACTATGATCAGAAAAAGTTCTAGGCCAAATTTCAGACTTAATTAAATTCTGTACCAATTCCCTCGAGACCCAAATACTGTCTATCCTCCCCCAGCTCTGATTCGGATTTGAAAAAAAAAGTGAATTGTTTTGCAGTAGGGTTTTTAAACCTCCAAACATCCGTCAATCCCAAATTATTTACCATATCGAAGAAAGATCGTGGTAGTTTACCTTCTTTCCCATCTTGTCTTTTTGTTAATCTATCCATATTCGGCGTCACCACCCCATTAAGATCTCCCATCAATATCAATTTCTGGTCCATCCATTCCATTAGTATATTATCTAATTCCAAAAGAAAGCTGATTTTTCTCATTCGGGGCGTATATTCCAACCACAACTATTTTTTTTTTCTCCATGAAACACCATCTGTACCACCACTACTCTCCCATGTTCATCTTTATACAGTAGTTGCGGGTCATATTATTCCTTTATATAAATTACTACCCCTCTTTTCTTAACCTTGTCGGAGGTCACAAAGTCCAATCCCAATCTCTTATTACTTAATACTCTCTTGTGTTTTCCTATAACATGCGTTTCTTGAAGACAAATTAAATCCCAATTCTTTTCAACAATACATGTGCAATCTGATTCCTCTTATTTTTATTGTTCAAACCATTGACATTCCAGCTTATTGTTTTTAAAGCCATCTATTAAACTATTCTAGCTAATTTAACTAGATTAAATAGAGACTACTGTTCCTTGCTTTCCTCCTCTTGTTCTTCTCCTTCTCCTGTTAAGCTCTCCTCTTTTTCTTCTTCTTCACTCCCTTCACCCTCCTCGTCTCTCTGTCGTTCCTCCCTTTCCACCTCCCCTTCAACTTTTCCCAGGTCCTTCTCATATCTCCTCGCAAATTTTGGAGTTCAATACTGGTGCTTAATTTAAACCTTTTTTCCTTAAAGTAGAATGAAATGCCTTCGGGAAACTCCCATCTATACAATATCCCATTCTTCTTCAATTGGTTTGTTAATTTTTTTGTATGGCTCTCTCCTTCGAAGAAATCTCGAAGGAATTTCTCTAAAGATAATAATTGGGCTTCCTCCAATATATAACCTTTTTATGTGGTTCTGTTGCAGTATTTTTTGCTTTCAGTGTAAAAAATCCCCAGCTCAAGTCCCATGGAAGTGTATGATCGACCTGATAAATGAAGACTATAACTCTGGGAAAGGACTAGAGCTTTCATGCCGAAGGACCAAAATTCAGCCCCTAGCATCTTCAAGTAAAAAGATTTCAGGTAGCAGATATGGGGAACCCTCTCTGCCTCAGACTTCATAGAGACACCACCAGTTGCCATAGACAGTATCAGGCAGCTTCATTTTTTAAAATTTTGTATTATGTATTTATTTCAAATAGGTTTCATAGAAAGCTGACAGTTTAAGCAATGTGGCTCTTGTATCACTCTCAAGTTCATCTTTAAAAGCTGAAATGACCTGTGTCTTTCTGCAGAACCATGTATAATAACTACAGAAGAAATGGATCATTATAATATCCAGCTAAAGTGGAGAAGAAATCAAAAAATATATGCAGCATCTGGCGACACAGCTGAATTTTCCTGTAAATCGGGTTATATACCACAACCGTCCTCCCCTCCCTTCAGAGCGCTTTGCACAGAAGGCAACCTGGAGTATCCTCTCTGTGTGATAAAGGTACATGTATTGAAACTCAATCACAAGGGTAGAGAATTTACCATACATAAATTGTGGTTGTTTCCTCCCACCCCCAGTAACTGTGGTTTTTAGTGCTCTTAGGAAAGGAAGCATATTCAAAATAGGTTGATTTTGTGATTATCAGTCACCTTCAACCTTGTCAGATTTAGCCCCTGCTTTCAAATAAGACCAAATTTTAATTTGTCGTTGCATATAATCAATATTTCCTTTTCTCTTTGTTTCTGATTTTCTTCCTTTCTGCCCCTCATACTCTGCCTCTTTCCAGTGGCATAGGAAGGGGTGTGTGGGGTGTGGGGTCCGCCCCAGGTGTCATCAATGAGGGGGGTGACAAAATGGCCAACTAGCTGGGAGGCATGCACACTGCTTCCCCGGTGCCAGTGCTCAGTTCTGAGCTCGCTGTGCACCCGCCTCCTGGCACTACCGCCCTGAACTGGGAGTGGCTGTCACCGGCTTGGGGAGCCGTGGGGAGGGGGGGCGAAACCTGACTCCATCCCACTGGAGATATGGGGTGGGGGTGAACTAAAAGTGGAACCTTCCACAGGAAAACACAACACACACAAACAGGCAGCCTGCAGCAGCGAGTGTCTTTCAAAACACAAGCAAAGCAACCGAGCCAGGTGACTTTTGTTTACGCCACGTCCCCACACCGAGCAGCTTTGCAAGGCTCAGATCTGGGGAGGGGGGTGCCAGAAGGGGGCAACAACCTCCACTCGGGCTGGGGTCAGTGGCAGTGGGGGTTGGCTGCACAATGCCTTAATAATAATAATAATAATAATAATAATAATTTATTATTTATACCCCGCCCATCTGGCTGGGCTTCCCCAGCCACTCTGGGAGGCTTCCAACAAAATATTAAAATACTGTAATGCATCAAACATTAAAAGCTTCCCTAAACAGGGCTGCCTTCAGATGTCTTCTAAAAGTCTGGTAGTTGTTGTTCTCTTTGACATCTGATGGGAGGGCGTTCCACAGGGAGGGCACCACTACCGAGAAGGCCCTCTGCCTGGTTCCCTGTAACTTGGCTTCTCGCAGTGAGGGAACCACCAGAAGGCCCTCGGTGCAGGACCTCAGTGTCCGGGTAGAACGATGGGGGTGGAGATGCTCCTTCAGATATACTGGACCGAGGCCGTTTTGCCCCACCCTCGTTTGCCCCGCCCCCTTGCAGGGGGAGGTGCTAGCCCCCTCCCGCCCTGGGTGTGTTGGAGTCACGCTCCGCCGCTGCCTCTTTCTCACTTGCAGTCTCATTCTCCCTATAATTCTTCTCTTTAAAAATATTAAAGGGAAATAAGGTAACAGTGATGGTATCACTAATGAGACCTGCTATACTGGTATTGAGTCCTAAGGTCAAAAGTTTCCAGTAAACTTTTAAAAAAGTATTTCCCCCCCTATCCACCTTTGCCTGTCTCTGTCATCTGTGTGTACTTGGCCTGAGTGGAAAATGTGCAAATGCTATGTTAATTTGCCAAATCTTCCCTGCCTGAAGCAATTCTCACCTACTACATGCAACCATACAAAACGAAGGCGGTATTTAGACGTCTGCCCCTCAAAACCCATGCATCTCCATGAATACACAGGATAGCTCCTGAGATATTTGATGCCACTGCCTTTCCGGCCATTATCAGCTTTGTATCGTCACACACTCATAGGCCCCAGAGAAATATTGCAGCGCTGTTAAACTACCATTTAATGTAATGTGTGAACAGGCTCATACTAGTGCAGGGTTTAGGACTCTGTGACCCTCCAGAGCACTGGTTAAGCTGTCTGAGGCTGATGGAGTGTAACAATTTCTGGAGTGCCACAGATTATCCATGTTTCTACTGGTGTTTGCATATGGAACCAACCTAATACCATAAATATTTAGCAGAACTGTATTTTGCTGCAGACCATGAGGTATCTAATCAATTGTTTTTATATTTGTTAGCCGCCCTGAGCCCGGTCTTGCCTGGGCAGGGTGGGGGTATAAGCAAAATTTATTATTATTATTATTATTATTATTATCTGCAGATAACATGCATACAACTTTCTCTTCTCACTGTTTACTTTGTATTTAACAGGGGCGTTAAGAAGAAGCACTCTGTAGCCACGAGTTTTATCAGAAGTCATGGATCTCCTATTTCTAACCTGATAGTATCAATATGCTTTTGCAAATATATGTATCTTTTCTTATTATGTTCATCAACCTCTGCTAGGCCCAAGGAACCAATGAATGCAGAAAGTCTCAGATCAGACATGATAAACCAAAAATGGATGATGGCAACAGAAAAGTCCGTCTTTGTGCAACCTGAACGTAACAATGAAGGAAACATACTTGATAAGAGACTGAGAGGGCCTTATGCAGGTAGCACAGCAGATGGTGAAACTGGAACATGCTGATATGGAATGGGCCCTCATAGCTTGAGTGTCTTGTGTGACAGTGGAAGCAAAACCAACTTGTGGGGACATCAGTTACATTTCCTCCAGGAAAGGTTCTGGTGCTGACCTGTTCCAACATGTCATAAAGGTCTCATCTCATCTTTGAGTGCTTCACTCAGGTTCACTCAGTATAGTTGGGCTTCAACACCATAATCTCCACACACACACATATACACACACTTGGGTTCTGCTGAGGCTTAGCCTTGCTTGATTTTTTTTCTTTCCCCCCATTTCCTTTCTCTTCCTGTCTTCTGTTTCTGCAATATTGGAGATGGGAGGATCCCACTATACCAGACTGATAACAATTGCATTGTGCTGAATGTAATGCTAAGATACTATGCAGTGTGAACAGCTAGGAAGGAGAGGGTGCTTTCAAACAAGTTAAGATGGGGGGAGTATTAGAAGGATGAATTGTAGAGCTTGCATATATATGCATACACACACACACACACACACACACACACACACACAGAGTGGTACCTCGGGTTACAGACGCTTCAGGTTACAGACTCCGCTAACCCAAAAATAGTACCTCAGGTTAAGAACTTTGCTTCAGGATGAGAACAGAAATCATGCGGCGGCGCGGCGGCAGCGGGAGGCTCCATTAGTTAAAGTGTACCTCAGGTTAAGAACAGTTTCAGGTTAAGAATGGACCTCCAGAACCCAAGGTACCGTTGTATATCTATATATCTATATGGATATATAGATATATACAGAGAGAAAGCAAAGTGGGGTGTGTGCATACTTGCCGATTGTGATTTTGTCAATTGGTCATACTCAGAGTAGACACATTAAAATTAATGGACCTATGTTGGCCATATCAATTAATTTCAATGGATCTGCTTGGAGCAGAATTAATTAATTAATATCTCATATTATTCACATTGCATTACCTTCTTTTTTTACACCGTACAGAGTGATTCACATTTATGTTCCCACTTATGTAGCCATTGCTCACATTATCATTTCTGTATTCTCTGGTGTGTATCAATAAACCATTCATTTCATTTCAGTTACAATCTTCCATCTCTGGTGATGCTTCACACGCTTGGGTGGAAATGTGAACCCAGATGAATCGTAATTATTCACAAAATATCACACTGAGCCTAAACTGGGGACTTGTTTCATGGCTATTGACATACAGTATATACTTGATTTGAATGGATTATTATTATTACCGTATTTACACAAATCTAATGTGCCATTGAATCTAATGCACACCTCGATTTTCAAAACCAAAGAAGTATTTGCTGGCGAATGTAAAATGCGCCATCTGATCTAATGCACACTCTAACTTTTGCAGTGCAATTTGGCAAAAAAGGGTGCATCAGCAGGAGCCCCAGATAAGCTCAGCCGATGCAGCTCTGCAGCTCTAATCTTGCTGCCACTTTGCACCTCCCAGTAAGCAGCAGCAGCAATGCTGGGAAGCTTTTGCTGTGGCTGCATCCTATTAGATGTCAGGGACCATGCTGAGGAGGGCTGCACTGAGGAGGAATGGTGGAAGCCACCCCTCCCCCTGCTTCCGATATTGATCCTGAATCTTCCCAGGAACAGGAGGACAATATAGATTTGGAGCAGTGGTTTGCAGAGGGGCATAGTTCAGAAGGCAGAAGCTGGGAAATACTGGATGGGGAACAGCTAGCAGAAGAAACAGGGGTGTCTTAAGCATATGCAGTGCCAGGGTGCACAGATCCGCCCACCCCCCCGGTTGCCCAATCCCTGGCATGCAGGAGGGCGGAGCCAGCTGGCTGCCTCAGCGTCTCGCTGGCTCGGTCACTCCTGAACTCGTGGCGCAGAGCTGCCCGCAGCAGAAGAGCCTGCCTCTGTGCTCCAACCAACAGGCAGGCTCCTCCCCGGACTCAACTCTCAGGCCCCAGACTCTCAGCCTGGCGCCCCTGAGAGCCCAGCACCCGGGTGCCCCACATCCCTAGCACCTATGGGTAAGACGGCCCTGAGAAGAAACACTAGAAGAGAGAGTTAACAGATTCACAGTCTCTGGGAAGAAGAAGAGTTTGGATCTGATATCCCGCTTTATCACTACCCGAAGGAGTCTCAAAGCGGCTAACTTTCTCCTTTCCCTTCCTCCCCCACAACAAACATTCTGTGAGGTGAGTGGGGCTGAGAGACTTCAGAGAAGTGTGACTGGCCCAAGGTCACCCAGCAGCTGCATGTGGAGGAGCGGGGAATCAAACCCGGTTCCCCAGATTACGAGACTACCACTCTTAACCACTACACCACACTAGCATTCCTCCGCCCAGCTCAAGGACAAGAAGAGCTGATAAGGTAGCAGAACAGAAAGCATATAGGTTACGAGCTCAGATTACAAGGACTGACGTCGATTAATAGGGACGGAGGGGGTGTAAGATTAATTGGGAGCACCACCATTTTGGGTTGACGCTTTCTTTTGTCCTTCGCTGTGTTTATTAAAGAAACTAACTGGTACGAATTCTTTTCATTTGATCTGCTCATTTACGGCCACGGGGGAGGAAGCTGATTCCCCGAAACCTGACATTAGATGAGCTGCTGCTGCTACGAACATTTTGCATACTGTTCCCAGCAAAGCACTTCCACTAGTGCATGGAGTTTCAGTGACAAAATGGAACTTCCCCTCACTCTTCTGGCCCTGCCTGTCCCCTAAACGTGCCCCCAACCCTCCAGAACAGATGGTAGGCATGCAGGGAAAGGGGAAGGTGGAGAAGCTCCATCAAGCAAGCACAAATTACACTAGTTGAAGCACTTTACTGGATCCTGTCTAGACCTCCCAGACTTTTAATGTTGGTGACACACTTTTTAGACATGCAACATTTTGTGACGTGGTAATTCAACTGTTGGGACGTGGGTGGCACTGTGGGTTAAACCACATAGCCTAGGACTTGCCGATCAGAAGGTCAGCGGTTCGAATCCCTGTGACAGGGTGAGCTCCTGTTGCTCGGTCCCAGCTCCTGCCGACCTAGCAGTTCGAAAGCACCTCAAAGTGCAAGTAGATAAATAGGTAAACTCCAGCGGGAAGGTAAACTGTGTTTCTGTGCACTGCTCTGGTTCGCCAGAAGCGGCTTTGTCATGCTGGCCACATGACCCGGAAGCTGTACGCCGGCTCCCTCGGCCAGTAAAGCGAGATGAGCGCCGCAACCCCAGAGTTGGTCACGACTGGACCTAATGGTCAGGGGTCCCTTTACCTTTTACCTTTAATTCAACTGTGCAAATCTAGCAGAGGTTAAACTAACCACTTTCCAGCCCTGGGAGGAGCGCAGGGAGCATTCACGCGACACAACTACACACTGCAGCCAACACACTAAACTGTTGCAACGCACAGTTTGGAAAGCTCTGGTCTAGACCCTAGCAATGCAGTTCCAATGCATATCTACTCAGAGGTACTTAATGGATTTTTATTAGATAGGTGGGGGACAGACAGAATGTCTTTCCAAAAGTTTTACTTGTTGATTATGTAAGTCTGCTTTTAAGATATTCCTCCTGTTGCTTAATTATGTGCTATTGTATGATTGTGTTCATTTAATTATTATTTTTTTAAAAAATGTGATTAAATTAAGTTATTCAGTTCTGCTTCATCTTTTGTGTTTAAAGCTGTCTTAAGCATGCTTTCAGTAATAAATTAACATTTTTTTAAGGTGAGCCCCAGTCTGTCTGTTGTAGAATAGATTATTTCAACCAAATGCATTTTAATAATATTAAGAAATGTCAACATGGAATATTTATTAGGAAACAAGTGCAAATAGGGGTGTAAACTAACCTTATTCGTCTGGGGAAAGTATAAAGTACATAATTGCAGAATGTCCTACAGTGTCGAAAATGTTACAAATTGAGGAACAGCAACTAGTCGCTTACGAAGCTTAAGAAGCTTGCAGTTTCTTTCAAAATTCTTTGTTGCAGTGCTTATTCCTGAAACTCATTACATCAGCAGAAGCATTTCTGCTTTCTAGGTGGATCTCCCCCCCCCCCCCGCATTCAGTGTTTTGGGGAGATTGTCCAATCCCCACAGCTGATTTGGGGCATGCACTGGGAAGGGGGAAGGGAACTCAATTGCTCTAGCAGGATTAGTAGTGCTGGCTCCTGCTAGGTGAACCATTTAGTTGAATCCAGCCCATAGACTGCAAACAGCAAAAATAATGCAGAGTGAGTAACCAGAATACAGTGGAACCTCGGTTCCTGAATGCCTCCAATGTCCTACATTTCGGTTCTCGAATGCCGAAAACCCGGAAGTAAATGCTTCCATTTTCTAACGTTTTTCGGAACTCAAACGTGTGATGCAGCTTCTGCTGAGTGCAAGAAGTTGTTGCAACCAAAGGGGAAGCCGCGCCTTGGTTTTTGAACGTTTCAGAAGCTGAACGGGCTTCCGGAATGGATTTCGTTTGAGAACCGAGGTTTCACTGGACAAGCAATAACAGCTGAAATAAAGTCAAGCCCTTTGACTTAAGCCAGTTAGTAGAGCTTAGCTCTCATTCTAGTGTTGGCTAGTGAAAGACCATGAACCTCTTTTGGATATTTCTGCACCAACCAAAATGAGAGAGGCATGCCTGGAGATTATTCTCTCTGGCTTGAAAGCATTCTAGGGGAAGCATGGCTGTTGTGAACTTGAACCTTCTGTCAGTACATCCCTGGTAAAAGAAAACAGTGTGATATCATCACAGAATTTCCTTGTGGCACATTATTGATGACCAGAAGAAGAAAACTGAATAACAAGAGTGGGGAACCTTTTTTTTAAATACATGGATCAGCCTCATTTGATAGGTGCTTAGAAGAAGAGTGCGTAGCCAAAGTGAGGAGCCTTTGACTCTGCCCCCATACTCATCAGTTCTCAACCAGGGGTTAAATCCCTGCTAAACCCAGTGTCAGGATGCTGTCAGCAGCTCCTGGCTGGTTGCCCAGGAAAGTATAAAGACAAGGAAAAGTTTCTTACCATCCTTTTTTATTTCAATATTACAGAGAAAGGCTATAGAACCCTGCCTCTTGAATAATGGCATTGTCCTGAGTAAATCTCCACCCTAGTCTCTCCTACTTCCTCATTCATCACTTCTATAGGGGCTGTTAAGTGCCTTTTGTCTTTGAGCTCTTTGCTCTCCTAGTTCTAAGGCTCACCAGGTTCTGGGAGATGGGGGGGTCTGGAATGCTTTCTAATGATGTGTCAGCCAGGTGTTGCTCTGGCTCTCCCATGATTTCCCAACTTTCCTCCTCATCTACCTCTGAGCTGCGACCTGCCTCAACCCCCTGTTGTAAATCTATACTGTCTTCCTTGTCCTCCTCCCTAGAAGGATCAGGAATGGGAGGCGGTCTCCACCATCCCTCCTCTTCTCAGTCCCTGACACCCAGGTGCCTGCAGCCAATACAGAATTGAACCCACCCACCCACCTGCTGCCACCAACAAGTGATGCCAGTTAATGGACAGATGGGTGTGGATTAGAGTAAATAGCCACATTACCATATTCTTTGCTCTATAAGACGCACCAGACCACAAGACGCACCTAGTTTTTGGAGGAGGAAAACAAGAAAAAAAATATTCTGAATCTCAGAAGCCAGAACAGCAAGAGGAATCGCTGTGCAGTGAAAGCAGCAATCCCTCTTGCTGTTCTGGCTTCTGGGATAGCTGCGCAGGCAGCATTCGCTCCATAAGATGCACACACATTTCCCTTTACTTTTTAGGAGGGAAAAAGTGAGTCTTATAGAGCAAAAATTACAGTAAACCCTCTGGCAGTAAAATATTGGACCATGTGCCAGAGAACCCCCACACACGCTGAGCAAAATGAAATCACATGACGTGTCTTTTTTTGAATTTGACAGCTTAATCCTCTTCTGATAGTAGTAGGTACTGCATCAGCCTTTATATGCAGGAATTTGGCAAGCACCGTCCACCCACACGTGGAAGATCTTGGGGCCAGACAATGGAAGGGGCAAGGCAAGGGGCACCCACCCACCCTGCAAATTCTAAGTAGGCACTCTTAAACCACTGCCCAAGGGTGCAATGGTGCCAGAAAGGTAAACTTTCTTCAGTGCCATCATGCAAGTGCAATGCTGTGTGTGTATCTGGGATTGGTCATACTTGCTATAAGACTTCTGCCATTTGCAGTCCAGCCATCCTCCAGCCTGTTTCATTGCCCACAGCTCTCTGGAAAAGCAAGGAGCCCAGCAGGGTCTCCTGTGCTAGGGAGTGTGTTTTGCAGCAATTGTATTGATGTCCCTATTTGTCCCAACACTCTAGTCATGCCCCTAGAAAATACCCCAAAGCATGCAAGACTGCATCACATTCCATAAGTCTCCATGGACAGATCATGGAGGTCTCCCACCCCATGGGATAAAAGCCATTGTCAATCCCAAACCCAAGCAGGAAGTGACCTATCAATTCTGCAGGAGATACTGGCCTAAAGGCCTGACCTACAACATGTTTGGAGTCCATGATGTATTGAGACAGCCCCATGGTTACTGTGGTGGCCTTGAAGTCCTCCGCTACTCTTGACTAGGTAGCATCAGTGTGGGTGTTGAAGTTCACCAGAACAAGTGTTTTTTTATAGTAAACGTGGTTATTTTTCAGCAACAACTTTGACAAATTTCATTTCACATGGTGTCCACAACTCAAGAGTGGTGAGGTGCTCTTAAATCCATTGGACCAATGAAGTTAAGCAGACTTCATTCATTTGGATTGTGCCTCACAATTTCTAACAACCTTTCCAACTAGCCACAGAAGCCGTACTTTGTAAAAGCAGCATGCATGCCATGCTGCTATTAAACATATGGTCATAGTTAACATGAATTCCCTATACCGCCCCACACCCAAGCATTTTCATACTCTGATTTCTTCACAGCAAGCTGCTCTTAGAGGTGCAAGAACAAGGCTGGCAGAATCATTCTGGTCAACAACTAATGAGTGGACTTTACCCTTTTGGTTTACTGTCAGAATTGCAACACTCACAGACCTTTTGCAAATAATCTTAATTCTCTTAAAAATTCAACTGTGTCATGCATTTCTGTAATTCTTCCTCTTGACAGGTTGCACTGTGAGACAAAAACAAACAAGCAAACAAACAAAGCAGCATGAAATAAACTATGATAACAGAGGAAAAGAAAATAACTGTTGAAACCAAAGACAGAGAAATATTGTGTTGCTGCCAGGATTGCATCAGAGAACTCACAGGCCGTGTGTAAATAAACTGAGTTGGGTTCAAAAGTACCCTGCACGTTCCCTTAATTCTTGCTCTTTTCAGATTGGTCTATCAAACACAAAAAGCAGTTTTAAAACATGGCAAAGGGCTAAAGAAAATAATTGGTGGTTCCAAAGAGAGGAAAAAGATATTTGCAGATCATTGGAATATGTTGACAGCTGAAAGTGAAAATTTTGTGGTACGGAGCATTGCAAGCTTCCTGAAATAATATGAAGAGCTGGCTGGTCTTTATTATTCCATTTCTTCTTCTGACATCTTGTCCTTCCCTAAATGGTAAGTTGTGTAGGTGGCTGACAATGTTTTTTACCAGGGAAGTTGGATGTTGCCAGATTCCTTATGGGTTGGATCTAACTCAATTGTACTTGGGGCCCAATGAAATCAGTGTGAAAAAATAGAGGTTATTAACAAGTCCCTAACAACTTAAATCCTTTACTAACCTAAGTCATTATTAACTAAAATACTACTAACCTATAACCTATAACACAGTCCTATACATATCCACTCAGAAAGCCCCAGCAGGACTTAGTCCTGGAAAAATGTGCATAGGATTGTGGCATTAGTGTGGAACCAACACTTAAAAAAAAAGTTAGTTTCCCCAGAATGGTAGAACTAGAACTTCAGGTAGGAATAGAGGTGGGAAGGCCTGGAAAAAAAACTGGAAAAAATGGGGGGAGGGACAGGTTTCCCCCCGGTTTTTCCCAAAGCCATTTTTCCAGACAAATTGAAAAAATAGTTTGATATAGTTTGGATATTCCACACACTATTCCCCCCCCCCATTTTTTCCTGGAAAAACAAAAGGCTTTGGAAAAAACCTGAAAAAACCTGTTCCCTCCCCACAATTTTTCCAGGCCTTCCAGCACCCACACTTTGGAGCGCCTTGCCGATTGACACCAGGCAAGTGATCTCACTGTAATCTTTCCGGCTCAAAACATTTTCGTTAGGGCCAGCCCATCTGAACACGTAGAAGCTGCATGCGATTTACTTCCTTATAACCACTGCTGACTTTAATCATCTGTTGAATACTCTTAAATGCCTGCTTTTAACTGTGTTTTATCAATCATTTTAATATTCTGTTGTATATTTTTGTAAACTGTTTAGAAAGCTCTCTTACCATCATTTGGTTTATAATATATAATAACAAATTCAATTAAACACACACACACACTCCTGCATGCGCAGGTGTGATTTTCAGGGCCGCAGAAGCGAGTCCCCACACTGTGCTGCACTGCGCTGCTTTAGCGCAGTGTGGGGGGACTCGCCGAGCGTGCGGCTTGGTTCGCGGGTGGCTCGTGGGCCAGTTAAACGACCCCTGTGGGCCGCTTGTGGCCCATGGGCCTTAGGTTATCTACCCCTGTTCTTTTGAAAAAATCCCTAAGCCCCGGGGTCACAATTTGAGAAAAAAACTGACTTTCGGCAATTCACTCAAAAATGGTGCCAAACGTTTGCAAATGCTC